ACCACAGATGTTGAGATATCAAATCGGCAATAGCCAAGGAACATGTCAAGGAAGTTCATTTTCCTTTGAGGCCGATAGAAATTTTAGAGGCTCGATAAGAGAGGATAAGGACAAAGAATTACCAACCAAAATGAAAAAGACAACAAAGGAGTGGGTTACACTAGCATTCCCTTACCAATGGGCACCATAAATATCATATTAAGTGGAATGCATCTAGGTGGTTAGAGTGCCCAAGGTCGTAAGGCCTATGCTTGTCAAGTGATGACATTGAACAAGAATAGACCGTTAAAATGCCTTTTTGGGGAAGTTGAATAGGAGAATGCACTCATTACATTTAGCTCGTCCGATTATAAATGGCCTGAGGGAGAGCCAGATATCACATGCCTTATGCTAACTCATTTGTAGCTACTATGCACATTAGCAACCATAATGTAAATAAAGTTTTTATTGATATAGGCAACTCTCTAGATATCCTATATTAAGAGCACTTTCAAAAAATGCAATTAAATCCAACTTCTTAAACAAAGTATGAAGGCCCCATATATGGATTTAATAATAGGCTATTCTAGAGGGAGTGATTACCCTACCGATTTATGTTGGCATTGAGCCAAGATATAGGATGGCATTGATCAATTTTTTGGTAATCAAAATGGAATCAGCTTTTAAACCCATCATTGGAAGAGGCACACTGTGTGAGTTGAAAGTAGTGGTTTCCCAGCCACATTTGTGCATGAAGTTTCCAACCCCCAATGGGGTAGGAGTACTTAAGGGAAATAAGCAAATGGTTAGAACTTTCTACCAAGACACATTCAAAAAGGTTAAGCTCGCAACAACTCCACAAAGGTTAACATCTCAGCCATCTTTGTCTAGTCGATCTAGTTTGTAAACCATGAGTATTTCAGATGTAGATCATAGGCTAGAGGATGTTGAATAGAATGCCGAGCCAGTAAAGCCTGTTGAAATAGTCCCTTTGGACTCAATCGAACCATAATGAACAGTGATAATTGGAACCAAGCTCACAACTAAAGAAAGAACATAATTCCTTAATTTTTTAAAAGTTAACAAGGGCATATTTGCTTAGACAATAAAGGAAATGCTTGGTATTCCACCTGAATTTACAATTCACAAGCTTAGTATAGACTCAACTAAGAAACTTGTCATGCAAAAACATTGCTTATTTGGCTTGAAAAAGTAAGCAGCAATAAATGAGGAGATGCAGAAGTTACTGTAAGCAGGCTTCATAAAAAAAGTGGAATATTCTGATTGGATATTCAACCCTATGCTCATTAAGAAGCCCGACAAGAAGTGGAGGATGTGCATAGACTTCACAAATTTGAATAATGCATGTCCTAAAAACCCTCATCCATTTCTAAATGTGGAGAAACTAGTAGAGCGAGCAGCACGACATGCGCGGATGAGCTTCTTGGACCTAGTTTAGGATATCACCAGGTTCAATTATGGCTTAATGACAAAGAAAAAATTGCATTTCATTTAAGGGATGTAATCTATTATTATGTCATGATGCCCTTCAGATTGAAGAATGTAGGTGCAACATATCAGAAGCTCATTCAAGTCATCTTTAAATTCCATATTGGTAGGAATATAGAGGTATATGTTGATGATATGATCGTCACCAGTCTATGAGTTGAAGATCACTTAGTCAATTTGGATGAAACTTTTCAGAACCACCGTCGAGCAAAAATAAAATTAAATCTATTGAAATGCACCTTTGGCGTAGGATTTGGCAAATTTTTAGGTTACATGGTCTCTAAAAACGAAGTTGAGGTTAACTCAGACAAAGTATATGCCATTAAACAAATGGAGCCCCTAGAAACAGTGAAGGATGTACAACGTTTAAAAGGTCATTTGGCATCTCTTCATAGATTCTTCTCCAAGTTGGTAAAAAAGTGCCTCCCATTCTTTAGAATTTTGAGAAATCCCAAAGACTTTCAGTGGACAGAGGAATGTCAGCAAGCTTTTGATGAGTTGAAACACTATCTCACTTCACCCTTTCTTGATTCCAAGCTAATGGATGGAGAGAAATTGTTTATGTACTTGGGAGTTGTAGCTAATGCTTTAAGCTTGGTACTATTAAAAGAGCAAGAAAGACAGCAAAAGCCCATCTACTATATGAGCAAAGTGCTGTAGGCTGTTGAAAGAAGATATTCTATCGCTGAAAAAGCTACTTTTTCCCTTGTTTATGTCGCTCAAAAGCAAAGGGTGTACTTTCAGTCACATCAGATAGTTGTTTTTACCAATCTACCATTAATGAAAATATTGCAAAAGCTCGAGCTTTCTAGTCCCCTAATCAACTGGGCAATAAAGCTTAGTGATTATGACATGAACTTCGAGTCTCGTGTAGTTATTAAAGGCCGCACTTCGTAGATTTTATCATGGAATGTGTGCCCATCGTGATAAAGGAATCCAATTCTACTTATCCATTATGGGCATTGTATGTAGATAGAGCAACCAATGTTGAAGGCTCTAAAGTTGGCGTAGTCTTGATAGGATCAGATAGATTCAAAAGTGAGCATACTCTTCGTTTCACATTTTTTACAACTAAAATGCCATTGAATATGAAGCATGGATTTTTGGGCTAAAGTTGGCTACGAAGTTCAAGGTCAAAGTTATACAAGTCTTTAGTAACTCTTAGCTCATCGTCAATTAAGTGAATGCTAGTTGTGATGTCAAATACCCCTAGTTAGCCCACTACTATGCTATTTTTGCTTGACTGAAAGGTAGTTTTAAATCATTTTAGATTGATAAGATCCCCTATGATGACAACAAGTGAGTTGATGAATTGTCTAAATTAGCTTCTTCTAGAAAAACATCCACCCATACCACAACCTATGTTGAAGTTCTCGAAACATCAAGCTATACTGATTTTATTGATATGGGTGGTGTAATGTTGAGCACTGATCCATCTTTCCCGAGCTGGACCATTCCCCTAATTAAGTATCTACAATTAAGCAGACTGCTTAATGATGAGCATGAAGCTTGATTAATAAGATGTAGAGTGACTCATTTTTGCCTAGTTGATGGCCATTATACAAACGAGCAACATCAATGCCTTTATTGAGATGCCTTACCCCTTACAAAGTAGAGTATATTGTAAGAGATGTTCATGAAGGAGTTTGCAACACACACATTGGCGAGAAAATATTGGCATAAAAAATCCTAGGGCAAGGATATTATTGGCCCCAAATGGTCAAGGATGCCCAGAACTATGTCAAAAAATACTTGACATGTTAGTTCAATGCCAATGACATTCACATGCTAAGCACCTCAGCTCGTTTCAATTAAAACTCATATGAATAATCATATTTCCACATCAAATAAAGATTGCCCTCCTTTGTTATAGGAGAAATGTTATCTTTCCTCACTTTTCCCTGGCCATTCGCTCAGTAGGGCATAGACTGGTTAGGTCCTTTTGTTGAAAGCAAGGAAGGCTATACACATCATATTATTGTTGTGGATTACTTCATTAAATGAATAGAAGCTAAACCATTGTTTACAATGACTGAGAAAAAAGTGGAATAGTTCTTATTTAGCTCGGTACTATGTAGGTACAATGATACCATTTAGTCAATCGTACGCATATACTTGTAAAATATTTGGCCCACTCGGTCATGTGTAGGTATGGCATTCCGCATTGCATCATTGTTGACAATGGCCCCCAATTTTGGGTTGCTACATTGAAAAGATTTTAAGAGGACTATAGAATCTAGCTCATTCTTACTTAGGTTTACACCCCACAATCAAATAGCCAAGTAGAGTCTACTAATAAGTTTGTTTTGCATAGCCTCAAAACACATATCTCTGCCGCTAATATAAACTGGGTTGATAACTTGGATAGAGTCTTATGGTCATGTAAAACTACATTTAGCTCAGCTACTAGTGAAACCCTTTTCTCTTTAGTTTATGAGACTGAAGTGATCATTCTTGTAAAAGTAGGCTTGTTGAGCTAAAGAACTATTAATTTTGATGAGGCTACTAATGAGCAAAAACTTTGCAAGAATTTGAACCTCGTTGAGGAGATCAAGGAAGCAACTCGTTTAAATCTATAGTTTATCAAGGTCATGTGGCCAATTTTTATAACAAAAGAGATTGATGTCTTCAGTTTCAAGTACGCAACTTAGTCTTAAGGAAGGCGGGGCTCACCAATACCTATTCGCACTTGGGCAAGCTTGCCCTCAATTGTGAAGGCCCTTATAAGTTTGTAGTTATTAAATAACTTGGAACATATCTTTTAAAAGACTCGCAAGGTCATCAATTACCATACACATGGAATGTGAACAATTTGAGAAAATATTGCAATTAGCTTTTGTAATTTTTCTTGTAAGCATTTGTTATAATCTCAATTCATTATGACAAACAGAGAATAAATTGCAAAAAGTTGTTTCATTTTCATTTCATGACAATAATTTTTAATTACACAAAATCAATACGAGCATAAATGAAATTAAAATAGTAAAATACAAAGGTCATAAAAATTAGAACTAAAACATTGCATGCCCTAATCTTGTTCATCAGTTAAGTCTACCATAGGTGCAAGTGTAGTGGCAATTGTTGTTGAGGCAGAAGTAGGAGTAGCAAACTAAGTTGGCAGCAAAGGTTATAATGGAGAAGAAATCCTACCTTCCAAGTTGGGCATCCCAATATCCCAACCAACGAAGCTTTGAGAAAAGTCAAACTCCTCACCTTTTTCCAATATGGTGGGAAGGCATAGTGAGGCCCCTTCCTCATCCAATGTCCATAATACCTTGACAGCAGTTTCAAACAATGGCACTAGACTCTTTCCCTGCTCATCAATCTGTTTGCCCTTCGTGAAGGCGAGCTCGTCCTTTAGGAAATTAGGTTGATACCGCAACACCTTGTCACGCACATCATTGTAGATCTCAATGGTCATGTTTATGGTGGCAACAGCCACAACATTTTGGAAAGCATCAGACCCTAGGAACCATTCAACCCCTTGAGCTTGGGCAATGCTAGTGGCTTTATGAAATGACCTTGTCATGTTGTCAAGCATGCCTTGGACATGAATCATTACATGATTAGCCTCAGCTACCTTTACTTTCAAGGCATCCAACTCCTGATGAGCTTGATCCTTTCCTTTCCTAACCTTAGCAGCCTCTTCTACTGCAGTAGCAACTTAGAGTTTAACTTCATTTTTGGTGACCAAAATTTTGCTATCTTTTTTGGCCAAAGCCTTCTCCAACTTCTCTTTGAGCTCAGATACTTGGTTGGTTATCTTGTCAACCTTGCTTTCTATAGTTGCAGCTTGGCTTGCTATCTTTGAGCTTTGTAAATGGCTCACCTTTAGCTGCAACCTTTGCTTTTCAAGGATAGCTACTGTGGCTTTGCCTACTACCATCCTAACTTATGTTTGGATAGTTGCTTCGCTCTTTAACAAAGCCCCCATGTAACATAGAGCATGTTATTAAGCTCGTTATATCACTATAATTCACATAAATGAAAATACATTAAACATAATCTATAATTAATTTCTTACATTCATCAGTTTGATCATTGTAGCATTTCTCCTATGCTAGTGAGCGAATTCCTTTGCCCACTGTCAATCAACTAGGGGAATGAAGTTGTGCGTACTTTGCAGCATTGCCAAGTGGCACTCCTTCTTGGTGTAGCAGAAGCCCTTGGTCTGTTGTGTTTGTGAGAGGGCCAGACCCAGTGCCACTAGTGGTGGGAGTAGGTAGCGCAGCAGATGTTACTGTGGCAGATGGGGCAATTCCTCTAGCTTCTGCTCACTATCGAGTCTGAGAAGGCTCCTCAAGGATCTTTGCCTCTTCTTACACCACCTACGGGATGCACTAGGCTATCTTTCTTGTCATCGCTCGATTGTGTCTTTTACAGCGACATCATTACTCCTCCCCTTTTGTAACAAGTTGCATGAGGACTGGCCAGTAGGCAACTCGTCAAATTGGGATTGCCTATGTGCACTTGAACCAACACAGTGTTTGAGCCCATAAAACTCCTTCACGTTGTTTCCTTAGTGCCTCAAGCCATTTCTCCTACACAAACCAAAATAATAGGACTCAGATCAACATTGCTTTTCACCTTAAAAAAGAATGAATGCATACTTGGGATGTGGGGGGTTTGCCACATCCACAAACCCAAAGCCTCCAATTCAAATGGGGTAACTAGGGTCTCTAGATTTATTGTTCCTTCTTTGTCAACAAATCTCACAGTCTTCTTCTTAATCCCCATATTCATAGAGTCAATTGTGAGATAATTCATATACGAACTAGGTGAGCGCCATTCATATATTTAGGCAACGAGCTCATTACTGACTCTTTCAATTTTGGTGTTTCACACAAAATGAACCTCTTCTTCCAGCTCACCACTTTATTCTTGATGTTATGGCATATGATCATTTTGTCACACCTTGAGATATAGTACCACATCGTTGTTTTCTTCACTTATTTACACTAAAATAATGATTGAAAAACCACAAACCTAGTGGGCACTTACAACCTCATGCCCAATAACATAAAGCCTATTATGAACTTCACTAAGTTTGACATTAGTTGTGTAAGCGCCAATCCATAGTCTGCCAGCACATTAAAAATCGACAAAAACCCATGTTAAGCCCCTAAACTTTTTTGACAGTTAGTGATAAGCCCCTGAACTAAAAAGGTGGCAGATAAGCCCTCAAACCCCACGCAAGGAGCAAATTAGCCCCTCCACTAACTGAGCTCTGTCACTCCGTTAGTCCAATAGCTTGCGTGGCATTTGACATCCAATTGGCTCCAACGTGGCATGGGTAGGAATCATCCCGCCTAAACAAATAACTTTTAGCAAATTTATGACATAAAGAATAAAAAGGAGGAAGGAAAAGTCAGATTTTCATCTGCTCACCATCGAAGAAGGCAAACATTTTTTTGGCCTCTTTAGACAAAGAAGGGACCACAAGGACCAGATTTGAGAATCTTCAACAATCTCAAGTTGCTTTCGTCCTTTACAGGTAGGTAGCAGCTATTACTGATGATTGAAGTGTTGTTCACATGGGTTTTGTAGTGATTTCTTTGTTCATTCTTTAATTGTTATCATATATTTAATTATTGAAGTTTGGGTTAAGTGGGTCTCATTAAATTATGGTAAACACAATTTATTTTGATAAGTAATAACAATGCTCTTCTATTAGTAAGCATTAGGATTTAGGATTTAGATTAGGATAGTAGTTTGAAATACTGATGTTCACCGATAATGGAAATTAGATTTCAGCACATGTTTTGACAATAAAGCTGTTCCATCATGAAACTTAAATGCTTCAAAATGATGATAATGGCACAAGTACATTCTTGGCTTAACAAGAAAGAATAAGGATAAGGCACATGCACTGCATAAGTCGAAACAAGATGGCAATGTTACAGTTTGAAAGCTTTAAGCATGGAGAATTACACAAAAATATGAAAATTGCAAGCATTAATATGTCATTACTTAATTGGAAAGACAAAAATAATAATAATAATAACAAGAACAATCTCAGGCCTCACAATATATATCTTTAATTGTTATTATATATTTAATTATTGAGATTTGGGTTAAGTGGGTCTTATTAAATTATGGTGAACACAATTTATTTTAATAAGTAATAACAGTGCTCTTCTATTAGTAAGCATTAGAATTTATTATTTAGATTAGGATTTGGGCAGTTTTCAATGACTTTCTTTGTGGTCTAATTTTACTGTTTTTAGATTAATTTATCCTTATTTTATATCATATATCTAATAATTTGTTAAAGAATTTGATTAGAGTCATGGTTTTTTGTATTTCACAGCAATGTCTAATGATCCACCTTTTAAGATTTGTATACATTTTGACAGTAGATTTGATATAAATCATTCTCGTTACACTGGTGGGGAAACATATGATCTTCTTGTTTGGGATATTGACAAGCTTTGTTATTGGGATATTGTAGACAAGCTTGGAGAATTAGGTTATGGGTCATTCAAGGTACTATATTACAGAATTTTTAATTTTTCCTTGGCTGAGTCTATGGTACAAGGGTTTCATTCTCTAAATGGTGATGCTGAAATAATTGAGGTAGCTAAAATATTAATCCAATCAACCGTGTGCCATGTTTTTGTTGAGCATTATCTTGCTGCTATTGATGGAGACTTGGTTGTTAGAAATGCCAAGCTTTCTCGTAGAGATGGTACTAGAAATACAATGCTAGATGATAATGCATTAGGTAGTGATGCTAATGATGAAGAATTGTTGGCTGGGATTAGTAAACATGCTGTGATGATGGGCGTAAATGAGGGTCCTAGCAATTTGAATGTAATACAAAGAAAAGATAAAGGGAAGCAAAAGGTGGCGAAGGAAAATCATAAAGCAAAGAATAGAGTTGTAGGATCAACATCTACTTCTAAAGGCATTAGAATCAGTGAACTTAACAGTGTTGATGAAAATGGCCTTCGACTAGTTGACAACTCAGACTTTGAAGATGATGAGACCAATAGTTCATGTAGTAGCAGTACCTATATTAACAGTTCAGACCCTGGTAGCTTCTACAGTGATAGCTCCATTGAAGACCCTAATGCCAAGGATGATGCTTTAAGGAGACCATCTAGTAGCTTGCATTATGACCCAAACTGTGATTCTCCACATTTTGAGGTTGGAATGGTGTTTGAAAATGCAGTGCAATTTAAGGCAGCCATTGCTAAGTACTCAATTAAGAAGGGATGCAAACTGCACTGGAAAAAGAATGAGCCAGGGAGGCAAAGGATTGCATGTGATGTGAAAAATGGTTGTTCATGGGAAATTTTTGCTAGTTTC